CTTTCCTATAGGCCCCCTTTAGGTACTGAAAGGCCGCAATCAGGTCTCCCCGCAGCCTTCTTTTCTCTAGACTGAACAAGCCCAACTCTCTCAGCCTGTCCTCATAGGAGAGGTGCTCCAGCCCTCGGATCATTTTAGTAGCCCTCTTCTGGACCCGCTCCAACACTTCCATGTCCTTCTTGTGCTGAGGGCTCCAGAGCTGGACGCAGTACTCTAGGTGAGGTCTCACCAGAGCTGAGTAGAGGGGCAGAATTACCTCCCTCGACCTGCTGGCCACGCTCCTCCTGATGCAGCCCAGAGTACGGTTGGCCTTCTGGGCTGCCAGGGCACATTGCCGGCTCATGTCCAGCTTTTTATCCACCAGCACCCCCAAGTCCCTCTCGGCAGGGCTGCTCTCAATCCTTTCTCCCCCCAGGCTGTATTGATACTGGGGGTTACCCCATCCCAGGTGCAGGAAGCCCTCCTCTGGCCCCACTCCAACAGTCCTCACGTGTCGGACATGAAGCCCTCTTGATCTGATGGGAGTTGAAGGTCGTATCTACCATGTGTGTCCAAAAATGTAATTTTCCCCAGATCTGCAATAACATCCCAGCTTTGAGCTCCGACCTCATCCTATGGCATTAATGATCTTCATGAGATATTAATTATCTTGGTAAAGAGAGTATTCTGATCTCATCAAGATTTTGGATATGCTAGAGTACTATTAATGTACAGGATAAACTCAATTAATAAAACCCATTAATTTCTAAAATGTTACTTACATTCATTATCCACAGTCCTCGGATGGGCGATCCCTTAAGTCAGACAAAATCCTGTCATTTTAAGAACGTCTTAGGTACAGCACGGGTTCCTCAAGGTACACTTGAAGGAATCTCACCGGCGTAACAGAAGATGGTAACTGAGTTTCTGAAGCTGCTTGGCTCGAAGTGCTCAAAAGGTTTTACGAGGACAAGTAAGGGTTCACGCCGGCAATGCCACTGTCACCACGTGCAGAAGGGCAAACGGGCGCTGCCTGGGCCAGCCCCGGGACGGCTGCTCAGGGCGTCCGAAGGTCCATGCGAGCAACGGCAAACGTTTGCACAGCCGGACTAAATTTAGTGGAGCTAAATTTAACTCCACTGAATTCTCCCTTGGTCAGGCCAGGCCAGGATGAGGCGACACGGTTTTGGCTGTCGCAGAGCAAGTAGAGTCCAGCAGTAGCATTTCCCTTCTCCTGCTCTGCATCCCTCAGCCATGCCCTGCGGCAGCCCAGGCACGAGCTGTGCAACTGGACAAGACTTTGGCCTGCCCAGACAGAGCCCTTCGGGCCAGCTCCCCCGCCTGGCCCAAGTCACCAGGACCCCACAAAGAGCAGAGTCAGGAATAGGCTCTGGGAAGCCGGGCTCCGAGTCACAGAATCACAGAATGGCAGGGTTGGAAGGGACCTCGGGAGATCACCCAGTCCAACCCTCCTAGCTAAAGCAGGCTCACCCAGAGCAGGGGACACAGGACAGTGTCCAGGTGGGGGTTGAGTATCTCCAGAGAAGGAGACTCCACAGCCCCCCTGGGCAGCCTGGGCCAGGGCTCCATCACCCTCAAAGTCAAGAAGTTCTTCCTTGTGTTCAACTGGAACCTCTTCTGCTTCAGGTTGTGCCCATTGCCCCTTGTCCTGGCGCTGGGCACCACTGAGAAGAGTCTGGCTCTGTCCTCGTGACCCCCACCCTGGAGATACTTGTACGTGTTAATGAGGTCCCCTCTCAGCCTTCTCTTCTCCAGGCTGAACAAGCCCAGCTCCCTCAGCCTTTCCTCGTAGGGGAGATGCTCCAGTGCCCCCATCATCCTTGTTGTCTCTCCTTTACCGGGCTAAGCTGCCCACTGTGTATTTAGCCCCTGCAGGCTGCGCGGTGGCATTAGATGGTTTATGCTGACTGGGAAGTCTTATTGGAGAAAGAAGATGATGCTGAGTAACTTTTTTTAAAAAAATCAATGAAGAAAACAAGTAAATACCGACTGCCAAGTATTCAGCACGTCAGGAAAAAAGCAAGTTTCATAGAACTAAATAAGCAGAAAAAGCCAAATGCAGCCTTTGGAAAAGCACTGCATTACTGCTGACTGCCCTTACCCCCCGCAGAGCCCCGCTGAGGGGGCGCGGAGCCGAGCAGTCAGCTTCGGCACGTCTTAATGCAGGTCAGTCGAGCTGAAGGAGAGGAACAATTGCACCGTACCTTCAGGCAGCCAGCTCCCTCCGAACAAGCCACTTGGTTTTTTTCCACTGCAGATGGCTTTGGCACCTCTCGCTTTTGTCTCCGTTTGGGTGCGCTGCCAGCTCGCTCTCCGAACCTGCCCTCTTCAGCACAACTCCATCTGCAGCCACGTCAAATCCTGCCGTCCTCTCCCCCGAGCCACGATGCTGCTGCAGCCCGGTGGAGGAGGACCCGTGGCACGCCGTACCTCGCACTGGGCAGCCAGGGTTGCAATCAGCTTCTGGAAAAGCCTCTGCACGCTGTTGTTGGTGAGGGACCTCAAAGAGCACGCTGAGCCAGCCCGGCCACCCAAGCACCATCATCCCAAATGAGGACAGACACCAGCCAGCCGGGGGTGGGAGCACCCCAGGTGCTATGCGCTGCCCGACCACCCCACCGCAAGGAGCCAGCAGGTAAGGAGGGGGTAAGGCTGGCATTGCCCAACGACGCTTCGCTTCTCAATTTGAGACAGCAAACTTGGCCGCTCCTGACGGATCTCCCTAAGGGAACGGATCCACAACAGCCTCGAAGGGCAGGGACAAGGCTCGGTTGCCAACCCGCAGCACCTTCGCAACCCACTCTGCGTAAAATGTCTTGGTCCCCCTTGTCTCCGCGATGCTGGCAGTAACTTCCCACTTGACATTCCTTAGGCAGGGCTCCTTTTCCAGGACATGAGCTGAGCTTCTCACCCCTCGGTGCTCCCACACACAGCAGTCTCATGGCTCTGGGCCGTCAGCTTCAGTTTCCCTTTCAGCTTTGTGCAGACTTCAACCGGAGCTTTCCCAGTTCCAGGCCGCAGGAACCACTACAGCTTTTACTGCTCGTCGCAGAGTTTCCACCGAAAAGCGGCAGCCGCTTTGCCAAGCATGTCCCGAAAAAGCAATGCTGAAGGACTCAGGGTCAAGGCCACAGATGGGACCCTCGGGACACAGTCGTAACTGAAGGCAACATTCAAGCACGGAGGATGAGAAGATGCTTGGGTGGTTTTGTCGCTGGTCTTTCACTATCGCCTGACATGGAGAACCATGCGATTAAGTTGTCTGTGTCAACGCACACGGGGATCCGGAGGGGCCGGCAGCAGCCGCCCAGCCCGTCCCAGCCCACGCCGCTCGGGGCAGCCCAGGCTCATCCCTCCAGCCCTGCACGGCCCAAAGGCTAAGCCTTTGCTTCACCAGTTGTACCCAAGCACCTGGCGGATTGTGGGCACTGCCTGCTGCCCACCACAGATCCTGGGAGATCTGCAAACGCGTTTCAGCGCTGACCTCACCCCGAATCGGGGAGAGGCTCCCTGGGGGCACAAGACCAACCATTAACACAATCTGCCATTTAGCTCTCACCTCAGTCCTTCCCACTGGAGCTTGTGGATGAGGAACCCTCAGTTACAAATCAATGTCCCTTTTGTTTTCTGGCATTCTCCTTTTCCTCTGCAGGATTTGCAGGACAGCAATTAACACACTCTTTTTTTCTGTATGACTTTTCTTTATCCAACCCACTTAGAAATAAAATTTTCTTCCTCCTTACAAGTGCGTGACTTGTCCAATTTCCCTCTCCGTCAACTTTCTCCAAGTACTGTTCATATCCCTTCCCCTGCTCTTGTGCGCTGAACAGAATTGGTAAACAACTCTTATATTATGGATGTCACATCTATTTTCCATCTAGATTCATTTTATCTTTCTTGAGTGGAATGTAACAGAGGCCATATAATTTACAAAACTGTTCTCCTCCTGACCTGCTGCACTTGCTCAATTCTACAGAGAATGAACAGCACTGGAAAATTTATACCTCAGCCCACTTCAGAGTTTATGTTTAGGGCTATTTTTTGTAAGACTGTTTTTGTGTTACCTGCTTATATTTTAAGAAATGGATCTTTTAACTCCTGTCTTTCCAAGTGTGCTAATTTCAGGAGAGAAAAAACACCTTCATCTCTCCCGCCGGACTCCTCCTTCACACTGCCATGGCCGTCCGCACCTAGCGCTGCCCATCCAAGGACAGCCTGGGGTCCCACCAGCCCCACAGTACGATCCAGCCATGCGCACATGGTCTATCTGCTCTTCTGGGTCCAAGTACAAACAGGTTACCTTCTCTTTACAGAAACCCAATTATCAACCACCTTATTATGGTAAGAAAACCATTTCCCAGTTCTATACCCAGCCACCGCCATGAGCAATACTACTTTGTCATCCATGATGCCGGACAAGCGATTCCCAAGACATAGTACACTGAATTATCCAACTGCAGGCTGGGTTGTACATGTCCTACCACCTCCTGCTAGTACAGACCTAACCACATGCCGTAACAGATGTTAAAAAACACTTGAAATACACATTTTTCTATTTACCCAAACAAGGGAAGCTTCAGTTTTCTAGATGAAGTCCTCAACACTCCCACTGCCAACAGCAGGCTACCTCTGTGACCACGTACAACCCCTTTGTGAGCACTGAGTAGGGATTAGCACTTTCTGATATCTGTATGAACATAAACTACACATTTATGCGCTGCCAATACACGGCCTGAAGTCGTTCAGCGCCTGTGCCGGCAGCGAGCTCTGCCGCAACCAGGGTCGCAAGGCAAAGAGCTCGCTGCTCTGATTTCGCGGGTACGATCCTCCTTGGAAAGACGGAGGTAATTTTCTGCGTATGGAACAGTCTCTGAGCAGCAATTCAGAGCAGAAATGCTTTCTAACAGCGAAAGCCCAAGATGCAACCCCACGCCTGGCGCTCCAGTCAGCCCCGCCACGTGGCAGGAACGGCCCCCGGGGCGCACAGAAAGGCTCCTTACCTCGAAGCAATAGTCTTGTCCCAGGATGCTACTGTGGACCGGCTTGATGACCACTTCTTCCTCCATACTGAGATCCAGAGCCTCAACGGCACTACTGGGACTGAGCAAAGACTCGTGGGAGCGTGATTCTTTCAGCCTCGGCATTAGATGGGATCTAAGAGGAAAAAAGTAACGGGATCAGCGGATGTTTTTCTCCCCAGAAAAATTATTTAGTCCATCTGTTAACAACAACTGCAGAATATTCCTGGGAATTTTTTGCCATGAGATAACCAAGGGCGCAGAATAGCTGGGACGGCTACATTGTCCCATTTATAATTTGGTGAGCAAGTTCTATTACAGGCTGTACCTTTGGCAAAAATGTTTTTCCCAAACTCCGATGCAGTCAGGACGACACTATTAGAGGTCTGCAGAGCGGGGGTCTCCGCACAGCTGAACGCGCCTTTGCACGGCCGTCGGACCTGCTGCCTGAGACCTCCCGGGTGCGCTGGAGCACGAGCGGGGGCCGGCCGGCCCCAGCACGAACCACTGTGCTCCTAGTGCCGCCGCCGGGTCCGCAGCACCCGGTGCTGAGCTCCAGTGGTGCTGAGCTCCGACTGCCAGCACAGGAGGGGGCTTGCGATGCGCGTGGGAGATCCCATCAGCACCCTACTTCATTTCACGCCGTTTCCCAGCGTCCCAGCCCTCCTGACAGAAGGAAGCTCCCTGCCAACGGGGAGGAATTAATGGCAGATCCCTCTAACGTGCCCGACCCGTCTTCGCCCGCTGCACGCACGGAGCGCGCCCGGGGAGCGGCTGGCACCACCCGGGCAGGGGCTGTCCCCGTGCACGGGGACCCTTCTCCCCGTCAGAGCCACCCATCTGCATCGCCGGTGCACGGAGCCGCGCTCTGTTACCAACAACCCGAGGGCTCGTGTGCTCTCTCCAAGGGTTACACACATCCCCGGACGGGGACGGTGTGGAAAATAAGGCCATGATAGCCCTATTGATTGATCTAAATGCTCCGGAGCCCCACTGGCAGCATTTAGCAGCAGGGAGCCCACAGACAAGCAAGCAGCACACCATTTTCGAGACAGCCAATACAATCAATGGTGCTGTAACTCTTAAAGCAAAACCAGAGGGCTCAAGGAGGGGGGAAAAAAAAGAAAAAAACAGAAAAAAAAAAGAGAGAGAGATAGCTAGGAACTCCCAGGGAAAACAGAGCAAAACTATACAGTGGCAAGGGGAAAAATAACTTGAGAGCAAAGGGAGCAGTTGCCTTCTCTACAGTCTGCACCGTGTAAAATGGTCCTACGCCAGGCAGCTCACAAAAGCTCTGATCCCAGTAACTCTGACCTTTAAAACCCCTGGCAAGCACTCTAGGGTCTTCCAAAGAGACCGCGTGTCCCCCTGGCTACAAAGAGAGTACGCCGCCTTCTTCAAAGGCACGGAAGGACAGAAATGAGGGGAGCCCAAGATATTCCCAGCACCGTCTTTCATGCGCCAAGCAACAACGCTCCCAGTATACCCTCAGACTGCTTTGTCTCTGTGTCTGTCGAGTTTTGCCGTTCTCTAGAATAAAAGCTGACCAAACCACAGGGCAATGCCAATAGTGCATGCAAAATTCATAGCTTCCAGTGAATGACACGCCAAGCTGAACCTAGAAAACAGCCAAAGGAGACTCTAAGATAAACAGCGGCGGAAGACACACAGGTGCTTCACCAGATTTGCCATTAAGATTCGTGCCATCGATGAAGCCCCAGGTGATCGAGGATCAGCCCGCAGCTGGGTTCTCCAGCTGAGCGTGGAAACAGATTGCTCGGAAGGCTGCAGGTCACCCCTCCGCCCCAGCGGCACCACGGGACAACCGGCCCGGGGAGACGCTGCCCGAGGGACAGCGCAGCCTCCGGACCCTTCCGTGCATCCACGCGGATCCAACAGCCAGGACCGGCTGCGGTGATCCCCGTTACGGCGTCTGTCGAAAAACCGATGACGCCACCACCATGATGTTTTTCTTCGGGGACAACCGGCAGCCCTCAAACGTTCAAAGCCCTGGGCCAGCGCAGCCCCGTGCCGGATCAGCAGCGGTGGCTTTGAAGCAAACGGCGCTCCAGCCCATTAGCGATTCTCTCAACTGCCCACTCACCCTATATCTCCGTGGTGAATAAATTGATCTTTAGGAACCGAGCGCAGTCGTTTCCCACTTCTCTGTGGCAATTTTACACTATTTTCACAGAAAAGGGCCCATATCCTTTTCCTCTGAAATGATGCTGTAAATTAACTCTAATACAGGCAGGCAGATCAAGTCACCTCTGGACGCTGAGCGCAGAACTAATATCCAGCAGCTCAAGAGCTGACAACAGACTGCTCACCAAGCCCCCATACGCCCAGAGTCAAGGCATTTATGGTAAATCTTGTTTCTGTCTTTTACAGATGAAATTGGAAAAGGTAAGCAACCACGCCGAGACGTGCAGTCTTGTGGGGGCAAATACAAATATCGATAATCTAAACCCGCAGCTCAGGAACTCCAGACTGTAACACACACACGCACGGGTGTCACCGAGCCCGATTGCTTCATGCGGGTCTAAGAATTGGTGTTAAAATTAAAATAAGTCTATTTTTCATATAAAACTACTGCAGCTGCAAGGCTGCGGGTGGGAGTGCAGATGTGCCATGTGCAGAATCACCAAGGGGGAGTTTCTCAGGACACATTATGTTCCCACCAGGTTCAGCGAATACGTATTTATATCCCTCCATACTCTGGCCGTATGCCTCTGGGAATCCTAAAATTAACGGGATTTTTCTTAGGCAGGAGGTCATTTGTCAGGGTCTTGCCTCGGCAGGACCCGCTCCCAGGACGTCCTTTACTCCTGAACGGCTGATGAGATCCAAGCCAGGTCAGGAGCAGACGCATTTTTCACCAGATGCTGCACTGCACGGAGGGAGCGCTGCGGGTCTCAAACCAGCCCTAAAAGGCCCAGCGCCTGTCTGTGCAGCAGGAGCTAAGCGGGGAGATGTCATTAATTAGAGACCGGCGTTTGAGATCTCAGCGGAAGGGATGCGAGAGCTCCCTGCTGGAGGCAGCCCTGGCAGAGCAGGATGAGCGCTGCCAGTGCAGAGGCCCCCGGGGCCACCAGCCGCATCCCCTCCACCCCCCCCACCCCAGCACCATCCCTGATGCTACGGCGTGGGGCGGGGGGCCTGCCAACACCCCCACTGCAAGAAGGGCCATGCACCACGCGGCCCCTTCATCGGAATACTCTGTTCTAGAGGAGGGAGCATTTCTCACGTCCTTCGGTAAGCAACGTGACGTTTGCGGCAGGAGGCCATTTACTGGAAGATGTTTGCAAGTCCCCATTGCAGCTCCCACAGACTTTCCTTTGAATTAAGAGTAAGGAAAAGGTCCTGCTAAGGCCGTGGGCTGCTTCCCTGACTCGGAGGGTGAGGGCACTCTTCTTGCCAAAAGGACCACTCTCAGCCTTCCCCCCGTTTGGGCAGGGAGAACATAAACCCCGCGCGTGCGTGCTACAGCGAAGCCCTCGGAGCGGTAACGTCTCCGTCTTGTACCGCACCATAAAAGCCATAAAAGACCCGGAGGGCTCCACCCAAAGACAATTCACTGGGCAAGGGCTGGCAAGTGCTAAAAAAAATCCCCAACAAATCCGCTTGCTGCTGAAGTGCAGAAATATTAACCGCACGATGTGATGGCTGGGCTCTGCCTGAACTGGGGCATCAGGCGCCGGTGGGGCTGTGCTGGGCTGCCCCAGCTGCTGGGAGATCCCTCCAGCTCTGCCCCGAGATCCCCCACCCGCAGCCAGCATCCCCTCCTGGAGGCAGGCACGCTTCCATCAGGAGACCCCAGCACCCTGATGTCCCCGAAGGAGCGTTAAGGACCCATCGCTGCTCCGGGGGGGGGCAGCAGCAGTGATTTAGGCAGGAGGCGGATACCCCTCAGCGCTGCCCACTGCCACCCAGCGTGGGCAGAGAGCGACACCCATGGGGACAGAGACACCAGAGTCCCCGTACGCTCGTGCTCTTCCTTGGCCACCCCGCATCCCAACAGGCAAAGCCACCCGGAACACCGTTTGCTTTCGGTGTACATACGCTTCCGAGATGACACAGGTACTTTGTTCAGATTCATCTCTCTACCACGGCTTTTCAAAACGCTGCCTGTGGGGCCATCCCAGCTCTTGCTGTAATAACTCGCTGTGTATTCCAGGTCCCGTCCCGGCTTACGTGAGCTGATCAAATTTAGTTCCTACACCTTTGTTTTAATATGGTGGGAATAGCCAGCTGCCCAGAGACATCTCACAGCAGGAAACCCTCTTTCCAAACAGCACATTCAGTTCCTTTTGCCATGGGCCTTACTTTAATCCCTTTCTACTTGCCTAAAGTTCAGTTGAAATGAAGGGGTGTGTGGGGGGAAAAATCTCATAAAAGACCCCATTAGTTCTAAAGAGAAATAACATTACTGCTACTGGCACTGACCTGCAGAGTCCTATGGAGAGGCAGCCGGTCTCTGGTTATTAAAGAAAGAGGTTTACTGCCCGAGAGCGATGAGAGAGGATTGTTGTTCTAAATAATAAAAGTCATAAAACATTACCCTGTGAAGGGACGCTATCCCCCTCCGCCTGCTTCCTCCGTGCGCAGCCAGAATTAGGGACGTCAAGCATTACCCGGCTGTGACAGCAGACCTAACCTAACCAGGACCTCGTGGACTGCAGAGAAGTCTTTGTGGACACAGAGAAACAAGCACGGAGGGACAACCCCAATCCGTCCTCTCCTCATCAAACGTCAGGACTGGGTTTTGAGCGATGGAGGCAGGCACCGGCCGTCTGCAGCAGCGGCACCACGGCAGCTCCGCAGAGCGACTGGAGGGACCGACGGGGAGTCCGGGCTCCATGTTCTTTCAAGAACAGACACTCTGCCGAGGCTACAAGGAAGGAAAAAACGTAGGGCCTGTCTACGCAGAGTTATTCTGGAATAGGTCTTGCACGTTCAACTCATACGCTCTTACTCCAGAACCACCTTCTTGTGAAGCCAAGCCCTCAGAGGGGCAATCCCATCGGTTTTCATTTCAGAACCTCACCTGCCTGCAAGCACCCAGCCGCCACGTCTGTGGTTTTATGATGAAGGTTACTTTTGAGAGGGATGGAGCAGACACAAAACATAACGCGG